GTCAGAAATGGCTTAAATTCTTTTGTTTGTTTTTGTCACATTTGGAACACATGTAGAATAAAGGACTTCACTGAAATACAACCATCTGAGGTCGTTTCTGAGCAAACAGCAGGTCACAGGTGAGCCGCTCACGAATCACATGGATGTTCTGGTGACTGTCTCTGGTCCAGGTTCTGGCTGGTTTTGGTGTTGTGCAAATGTTTGACTGGTAGATTGTGTAAGACTTAGATGTGAAGAAGTGTGAGGTTCGATACAAAGCTGTTATCCGTTGGAGCTTAAGGATAGAAAACTGGCATTACTGTTGAATACCTGCTGTGTGAAGTGAACAGATCAGAGCTCATCTCATGTCTGTGTGTTGAGATCTGGAGACTAGATGTTCTCAGCCTGGCTCTGTCCAAGTAAAAAACAAAATGGCCACCAGCAGCGTTGTGTTGGAGAGGGTTCGGGTTCTGTTCTGTCTGGTTCACTAAATCCTGCCTGAAACAGAAATCCTACAAATCGCATTTGGTGGAGTTGCATTCTGTGTTTGTTCCTCCGTCGGCTGCAGCCGGGCTGGAACATCTTTCTGATCCACAGCTCTCCTTAAAGATGAAGTTGGACGCTGATGGTCACATGATTTGTTGTGCATATGGTTGCCTGGAAACAGAACCTGTCATGGCAGCTCTCTGCATTCTGTTTTCTGATTTCATTCCAAAAGTTCTGGCTGCCTGGAAAACAGTGATCCGTATCTCCGCTGCTGTGATGCTTCCTTCAGGATGTTGGTCTGCTGGCTCCACCGAGCTCCTGCCTACAAAATAAAACTCCCTCCGACAGATGAGGAGGGGCCAGCGAGCGTCGTCCTGATTGTGTCACAGCCCAGAGCAGCTCATGCTCAGCTCATGTGGAGCAGGAACGTTTGAGCAGAGATGGTGCTTTTTTATGTCATGATGCCAGATGAATGTGGTCTGTAGTAAAAGATCAGCAGACCGGCCTCTGCTGGGACACGGTGGTGTGATGATGGTTCAGAGATCTGCTGTGAACGTTGCAGAGAAGCAGTGGATCGGGTCAGTCCGCACAGGACTTCTCCTGAAACCACAAGCTGCAGCTTTGGCTGGCTGTGGCTTTATCAGATTAGATCAGATGGAGCTTCATACAGCACAGGAGATGTAGCGCCGCCAGCCATTATTCCTGACGTGTGCCGAGTCCAGTGGACCAACAGCTCAGGAGGTCTGGAGAACTTAGAACTTCCCCCTGTGGTCGGTCACCATTAGTCAAAGCATGGCATGAATCTGGCAGCAACCGTCTCAAACACAACTCCTCTGACTGTGCATGATGAAGAACCTCTTCAGATGCTTCATGTTCTCGTTCCACTGTACTGACAAAAGCATTTTCCAACATTCTCAATTATTCCTCAAACCATATTTTAAACAGTCAAGCTGCGTTCTATGAATTTGAAAATAATTAAATGTACCGTAGTTCATCCTCATGATCCTACTTGTTCTTTGTAGACCTCGATTTTTACTGCTTCTGTGAGCGATGCTTCCCAGATCATCCGGAGCACAATCTCTGGACCCTCAGAGAGTGAAATGGGTCGGTCTGGGTGGTAATGAGCGAGGTTTGTGTTGTTTGCATTAATCCATGTGTTTCACGTGGACCGGCCCAATGTGGATCTACAGTAGACGCAGCTGAGCGTTGTGGTGTGAGCACCAGTGGCCGAGGCTTGACTGCTGGTTGGTACTGAGCACTGCCTCGTCCCCTCCTTGTTCTGGTCCCGTCACCCTGCCGGACGGATCACCTCCATGTTCTGGTCCCGTCACGTGGACGGATCAGCACACGGCCGCTACTACAATGATGTAACTGAAGTTCTCTTCCGTCCTGCTTTTTTTTTTAATGCATCATGACATAAAAGCACGTGTCAGCATTTTTATTTTCTGTATTTACAATCAGGCTCATGGTTCTGTAGATCTGTGTTCTATAGATCTGTGTTCTGTAGATCTGTGTTCTATAGATCTGTGTTCTGTAGGGTTAGGGTTAGGTCTGTGTTCTGTAGATCTGTGTTCTATAGATCTGTGTTCTGTAGATCTGTGTTCTATAGATCTGTGTTCTGTAGATCTGTGTTCTGTAGATCTGTGTTCTGTAGATCTGTGTTCTGTAGGGTTAGGGTTAGGTCTGTGTTCTGAGTTTCCTGGAAGATGTTGATGATT